CCTACCGCGCCAGGCGACGGCGCCCTGAAACAGTTTCGGGCAGGAATAGCCAATCTGGGGAGATCTAGCAGCGTGCGTAGCTCCTCGCTGCTGCAGCCGATCGTAGTGACACGCATATGCACGCGAAGCTGCTGAAGAGAGCTTCAATTTGCGCCGCTTTTTGGAAGAGCCCGTCCCCTGCTTCCCGAGAAATGACGAGAGGCGTCTGGACCCGAATTTCGATTTTTTTTGGTTCTCGCTCTCAATCGGAAACTTCGCTCTCAATCGTGCGAAAACCCTGTTCTGTCACACTCGACGTTCGTCGCCCATGCAGTGTTGAGGATCTCTTCTAGCTCCCTGCCAGACAGGGAAGAGCACCGGAAACACAGCACTTTAAAGGGTGGGCCGTTACCGGCAGGAACACGGTCGTCATTTGTCATTTCTATCTACTGTACCAGGACGACTACAAGACAAAATTGAGTGTCGGGCGATGTACTCGACGGAAGAAACTTCTACTCAAAGAACGTGCATGTGCCAAACTTCACTGCCAGCAAACCAAAAACAAACCGTACGGCCCGCACATGAAATAGCGACGCCGTAGACGGGGGAGAATCTTCGACTTTCCGGGGGGCTTCGGTACCCTTCGACCCACGTCTGTCCCGCCCCCACCATCCCAACTGCAACAACAACGAAACGACGAGACCCAAACGAAATCGACACCCCAGGTTTTCAACAGGACACACAGATTGAAAACGACACCTGATATGCCACTTGGAGTCGTAATCTGGGTTTTCTTCGCCATCGGGTAGCAGTCGCTCCGGAGCGTTGGGGTCGGAGCAGTGAAGGAAGCGGNCAAAATCTCAACAGCAACAAAACCGAAACGACGAGACCCAAACGAAATCGACATCCCAGGTTTTCAACAGGACACACAGATTGAAAACGAAGACACCTGATGTGCCACTTGGAGTCGTAGTCTGGGTTTTCTTCGCCATCGGGTAGCAGTCGCTCCGGAGCGTTGGGGTCGGAGCAGTGAAGGAAGCAGTAGTACAAGGGCTCGAACACGTCGCGCGGCATGCACTTCTGGACCAGCGGGTAGTTGTCGTGGGCGGACCGGCTCCAGTGCTTTCGCATCCGGACTTTCTTCGTGAGGCCCATGGTGATGAAAATGCCGATCATGCCGTCGATGTGCTGCTCCTCAAACATGCGGTAGGTGTTGCGCTCCTCGGACCGCTCCCCGAGCGTGACGCGACCGAGCGTGGCGGACTTCTTCATCTGGTGTGGCTTCCGCTTGTCCTCCTCCCCGGGCGGCGGCGCCGTCGTGCAGTGCTTGACGTAGGCGTTCGTCTGCCCACAAACTAACGGAGGAGCGGGGGCGGGGTAGGGGAGAGAGACACGGAGGTTAGATGGGGGCGGGTTTCGAGGCAGGTTTCGAGTCAAAGCC